TATTTTGAGATGTTTATGAGATATTGTTATTTTGAGATGATTGAGATGTTGTCGTTCTGAGATGTTTATGAGATGTTGTTGTTCTGAGATGTTTATGAGATGTTGTGTTTTGAGATGATTGATATGTTGATATTACATTCATGAAGATTCGCATACATTTCATTTTTGAGACGGAGCTTATGCTCGTTGAGATGGCCTAGATTGGCAAATTTTGAGATGAAGGCTATGCCTTGTTGATGCCTCTATTAATTGGCAGATTTTTGAGATGGGAGTTTTGCTCCAATGGTACCACATGCATTTGCATAGTTTTGAGTCGCATTATATGATTGAATAATGAAATGTATTTGATGTTGATGAATGAGTATATATGATGTAACTATTGTTGATTATGAGATGAGAAGTGGTGATATTATTGATCTAATTTAATATATTAATTATCATGCACTTTATTATATTGTTAGATATCTCACCCCTTCTGTTTGAATGTTCCCCTTATGTTGGTAACGTGTAGGTAATCGCGAGTGAAGGCTGTATACCTTCAATAGATCGAGTCGGTGTCATTGCTCTGATATGTAACACTCGAGGGAATGAACGCTTGCTGATTTTTTGATTGCTGATTTTTGATTGTTGATTTTCAGTTGCTGAATTTTGAATTAATGATTATTAAATATGAGATGTTTCGAAGTTGTTGTTTTTATTTAAAGATGTTATTGAAGAATTCCGTTGCGTAGTTGTTGAATTATTTAATGAAAGATGTCATGTTGATGGTTCATCCAATGTTTTAAAAAAGTGTTATATATCCATGATGAATGCAATGAATTTGTTAGAAGAATTTGTGACGTTCCGATTCGTTTGTATGAATAAAATTTTATAACTTTGATTTATTTTTGCATAATTGTTTGGGGTAGAATTGGGGTGTTACAGACTCCCTTGACAAGCTAGAAAGAAAGTGTAGTTTATATCGTCACGTCGGACACAATCGCAAAAGTTGTCTGAATTGGGCTACTGGCTCAACCACATAAAAATTGTATTATACAACATCTTTACTTTTTTAAGTTGTAAATATTAGGGTTTTTCATTAACAGCATTTGTTACAATAAACCTTGCGCGAACAAGAAATAAAACATGATAAACCGTCTACGAAATTACAACCGTTAAAACAATTTCATCTGACTCATGCATCATCAACATTACGTCGCTGTCTGTTTTGACTTCCTCCAACCAAAAATTAGGTCTTCCTGTCGCAAGTGAGGTTGTTGTTCTTCTTCGTTGGATCCTTCTAATTTATTCCCCATCCTCGATGTCTCCCTCTAGCCATCGCATCAACTTCCTCTTCAGACGCTCCATGGAGTGAATGTTCCAGAATTTCATTTTCATCGGAGGTTTTATGGTGAAGAAAATAACGTAACCATCTCTGGTAAAAATCATGGGCGATGTCATGACACAAATAATAGAGAAAATAAGAGAATAGTGCAAGAAAGTGTGAGGAATGACGGAGAAACAGACGGATTATTTATAAAAAATACATTTTTCCCTATGAGCCAAGTATGATGACACCTCCTCTCACTTTTAAAGTGCATGCGCCATCTCACTTGGCTAAAAGAGAGAGCATGCACCAAGTGGGATGGCGCCTAGGGAAAAATTCTCAGTGCATGCGCCAACTGGGTTGGCTCCTCCCTTGTGGAGTTTTCTGAAACATGATTATTTGCGTAATCTTCTCCGAAACATGGTTACTTGCGATTTTTTTAATACCTAGTTATTCCAAAAAAAAATCTCAAATGAGATGCCTCTATTTTTTCATAACATGATATCAATTTCAAAATGCACGTAATAAAATGGGTTGACGTGGCTAAATAATAGACTTTTATTGAATGACTTGTTGTATCAAATTTACTGATTTGGAAATCAAAAAGAAAGGTAGTCAGAATATAGTAATTTTTTTGGAAAAGTTGTATCTAAATTCGTTTCTGACTCATGTAATTATGTCGGTACTGGCTAACGGCTCTTTCAGTGGCTGCATTCTACCTTTTAAATCGGACTCTATCACAGTTTTCTTGGACTCTTGAATAAGCATTGTATCTTTGTCTGAAACAAAAACTTTGAAGTCAAACTTTGAAGATCTTTCTTGCTCATAGTCATATATTTCATGTCATAAGTTCTTATATCGTCCTGAATAGAAGTCAATAGAAAACAATAACAGAAACATATATCAGTCTTGTGAAAAATATATATAATACAATACAAATATTTATCATTCTCAAACCATTACGACACAAACCTTTAACATTTGAATTTCTCAACTTAATAAAAATCCATATTAAATGCATGGATTATATACTTACATCAACATGAAAAAAAATCAAATATCAAAAACCCATTTACAATCTAAAGATAAACCAATATATAAGCAAAAAAATCAGAACATTTAGAACTGTAATTTCTTTTCATGATTTCTAAACAACACAAAATCTTACTTGTTTTAAACTGAATCTCGTAGCTAACGAACCGCATGCTACCGTCGACATCACTGATCATACCCGTTATCAAAACCCGGGTCTCTCTAATGAATTTGTCGCCAAGGATAACGTTGTTGTCACAAAACTCGAAACATAGAAAAACACGACTCTTTCCTTTGTGTCGTTAATGTCTTTGACACAATCAAATTTCTTATTCATTTTCTGGTTCACTGAACAACATGATGGATTAATAAAAGCAACAACAATACAATATCAAATAATAGAAGAAGAAAAATGTATATATATGACATATGATATAGTTTGCAATGAAGAGGAAAAGTTAGATGAAGGTCTCCATATGAAACAGCTGAAAATCGAAACATGGAAAGATGAAGAATAAAGCATACCGTTAAACAAAATTTGTGAAAAATAAAAGAAATGGTGATAAATGTAATGTTTAGGCCTTGTATTATTGTCATGTTTTATAGAGAAAATTTTCGAATTGCAGTCAAAGTGTAATTAATGGTTGAGATTGTTTCAAATGGAAAATCAAATTTTTTAAGTTTACTAAAAAGTTTCACTAAATAAATATTTAAAAGATAAATAATAATTAGGTGATGTAATAATATTTAAGTCTTTGATAAACCATCTTAAAACTGATTTAATTTGGTTAATTAAATAAATTTAATAGTATATTACTTTATTATATTAAAAATAAATTTGTCAACAATTTTTTTTTTTTTGACATTTGGTCTTATCTCAAAATGTCATTTGTTTCCGACACACAACAGTATTGGTGTTTTCCATGATCTTAAAAGAGCTTATTATATTAAAGCAAATCTAAAGCATTACACTAGAAAATGTTGAACAGAGAAAGGATAATACCCAACCATGTTATTGAATTATAGTTATCATGAATAATCATACCCCAACCAATAATTCCTTAAAGGAAACAACCTACATCAACTTTAATCTTGTACTATCCCATTAGAAACAACAACAACAACACAATCTTAAGCATGCTCTTGTTCATAACAAACCAAATCTTCAATAAAATCTGTGATCTCTAATAAAAGATTATCAAAACCACATAAATGAATATTAAACAGTTCCTTAACCTCCACTTAATATAAAATCCAAAATGATAAACACAGCTTAACAATTGGACCCACCAAAAAGCCATTGTCTGGTTATAATGATGTGAGTTTAACGAGTTCTAAGTATAGTCAAATATTGAATCATGTAATGAAAGGCAAATTCTTACTGTATTAGACTTTACTTTGTTTGTTTAGAAAAGTTTTACAGATTTGAAATTACGAATTCAATAGGCTATTGAAGCTACCCACCTAATCTACATCTACACTTTTAAAGTGAATGAATGGTAGTTAGTTACAATTAAATTCGTTGCTTTAAAGTTTGTATTAGATGATTCCAAAATAATAAAGTTTGCATTTGAATACTCAACTTTTGCCCCCAACAAGAAAGGCAACAATTTCAACTAACATTATGGTGGAGGAATCATAAACCAGTAACTAGTATAGCTCAATGCCACAAATTTTCTAAACGCCTTGATAAAATAGAATGAGAAATCCAGTAGTAAAGTAAGATAATCGCATAAAAACAGGATAATCATCACAAAATTTGTCAATTGCGCTTAAGTTCGACTTCGAATATACCTCTGGTTTTAAATCAGTTTAATGTGTAATAATAATAGTGGATCTGTGGATAATTCATCAGTACAGAGAAGATTGAACATTCTACTAGATGAAGTATCGAGTTCTCTGCAACATTTTGAAACTACAACAATCTCCATTTCAACTAATACAATCGATAAATTTTGTCCCAAAAAATCAAGTTACAGATGATATAAATCTCAGTTCAAATGGCTTCAGTGGCACATAATACATACATTCATGCCAAATTGCAGACAGGTACGCGTGCTGGATCCAGATTCTATGTGTGCAAGTCTCAACTTTTTGTATTCTCCAATCGTGAAATCTAGAAATTGTAAATTTCAGCTAATGTTCATACACGAGGAACAGTTTTAGCTAAGAAATCAAAACCATTTGGACAGTAATTTTCAATGTAGTTGAGCAAGTGAACACCTACATACAGTGAAGATGGCGTATTAAGTCGACATTCTTCTCAAATCTCCCATCTACAGGTCATGTCAGAAACATTTTCAATCGGCAATCACCTATGATGCTTGCTCATGAAAGCTGGTGCTCTTCAGTTATCCCCATAGATTTCATAACAGCATTATGGTGGCTGGCTAGATGGTTTTAAATTGCGTCGGCCTTTGCAATTTTGGTCATTGCAGAGAATCGCGGTCGAGTGTATCTAATGCGGGTTCTCAATTGCAATCGCGTTGTGGGGACAAGGACACACAAAAAACTTTGACATCACAACAACCTAAATCACAGCCGCGGATCTCTTGTCAAGTTAACTTGAAGTGATTTGTTTCAGAACATCAATTGCTGTTCAATTAGTAAAAATAATTGCTAGATTAAACAATCAATAAGCATGCTAGTATCTGATTATACATTAATCTTCAGAATGAATTTCTTTCTGCAAATCTTCCCAAACTTGAAGGCCAGAGGGATGGCGATTCACATAACTTTGTAAGAATATTCTGTCTGTGCATGCAATAATGGTGCTCAAAGCAAGCCCGGGCTCTACGGCCCCATTGTCTATAAGCCAGTAATACATTGACAACCTACGTTTAACTCTTAGAGATTTATATGAAAGATAAGATGGAAAACTCACTAAATCTGATACAGAATATCCTATCTTTTTAAGAAACTCGATTTTCATCTTGACCCTATCTGTGGTCTGATTAAGAATCTGCGGTGAAACTTTAATCATACTACAAACATCGTCGCGTGTCAAGCCAGCACTAACAATAAAATCAAATCTCTCCTGAAGTTCAGCTCCCTTACCTCTGAACATCTTAAATGCCGTATTCATTTGTTTCGAATTTTCCACATATCCTAACCGCAGCAAGAACTCTGTCTTCCCCGCCTTCGATTTTTCCTCTTCCTCCTCCCTTATGCTAACCAAAGGCTTAACTCTCCTTCCCAGAATCCAATTCTTCATTTCATGAGGATTCTCCTGCACTATGGCAGAAAGACGCTTCTTGCCGACATTCAAACAAGCAAGCAAACTCTTTGTTGTCTTGAGAGTATAGGAGCCAATAAACAATGTGTGAGACTGGAAAATCTTTCCAATCTCTGCAGCTTCCATGTCAATTTCAGCCAGAAGCTGAAAACACATTCTTAAGTTAGCTAAAAACTTAACCATCCGAATCTGCGGAAACTCAAGAAACACAAGGGCAATCTGGTTCACAGACAATCCAAATTTAGTCAAAAACCCAATCATAGAGAGTGTCCTACCTCCCGATTCCTCAAAAACAATACAAGGACTACATCGAATAATCTCAGCCAGCTCTTCCTTACTCAAACCAGCATCCGAAAGCAAACACAAGAGCTCACGCATCAAGCCCCAATTACAAGAACCCTCATCCAAAAACTGCCACTTAATCCAACCACTGTCAACATCACCACCCTTTGCAACAACATCTTTCAACATATCCACAACCTCAACAAAATCATCATTAACATCACCAACCAAAATCCCAGGACTAACCGCTACAGCATTCACTAAAACCGCATAAGAAACACCCATCTTCTCATAACCCTTAATCTTCAAACCCAAAACCCCATTTTCAAATCTAAAAACCTCCGGCGCTTGCTTGAAAATCTTGCCCATTTTGGACCTCGGAACCCCATAGTTACAGAGAGTATGATAATTCTCCATCATAACAGGATCATCATTGAGAAAAATCAAGTCACGCGGAAGAAGAGGTGCATATTCGGAAGGCTTCAAACCCAAACTCTCGAAAAACGGTTCGAATTCGTTGATTGGATGGTAACGGAGATAGCGAGAAATTAATCTCTTAGGGTTTACGAGTTTTTCGTTTTTTAGGGTTTTTTCGACGAGGGTTTGAATGAAAAAAGGTGAGTTTTTGCACATGTTGTCGGCGTCTAGAAACTGCAAGCTTCTTGTGGAATGGAGATAGTCTAGTAATGCGGATTGGGCTTCTTTGATTGTGGATTTTGAGGGAATTTTGGGTTTTGGGTGTGATTGAATTTGAAGTGATGTTTTTGTTGTGCTGTGAAATCTAGGGTTTAGGGAGGGTTTAAGGTTGAAGAATGAAAATGTTAATCTGAGTTTTCTTAAGTGGAGCATGGTGGGGTTTGGAAGAGGAAGAGGGTTTGGGGAGAATGGGAAGAAGATGGATACGGTGTCGTTTTAGTGGTGCTACCCGGTGGCGATGACTGACGACAACGGTAAACACACTGCCTCCGGTGTCCAACAGTTCAGGGAAGACTCTCTCGCTCTTTCTTCTTTCTTTTTCTTTTTAATAAAACATTTTTAGGGTTGTAATCACAATAAATTAGGGTTGTTTAAAATCAAACCAATCTAATAAAAAATCATAAATTAAACTAAATCAAATCGAAATCGTAAAAAATTATATTTAATTCGGATTTATTTGGATCAACTTTTAACAAAACTGTATTATGTTATCATTTAAATTTTATTTAATTCACATCCAACCCAAACATAAACCTTTTATACTTCAACCTTATGATTACCAACAATTTTTTCATCTTTACAATTATGGTTTCAATTTCAGTCTTCTAAAATCTCTTATAGTCTTACCGCGCCTTCTTCTCCAATTATATATTGGCTCTTCTTCTTTAGTCTCGACTCTCTTGTATTCTTTCTTTTTTATCTTCTCATTTTTATGCAAATGTTCTTTATTTCAATTTCGTTTTTGCCGCACATCCTCTTCTCTAATCTCTTCTCTCTTATGTTTTTTCTTTTTCATCTTCACTAATTTTTTTTTTGTTTCATTATAATATTTTTGCCATTATTTATGATATTATTTTATATTTATTATTTCATTTTTATCTAACCTAATTTATATATATTAAATGAGAAGTTTTTGTCCAAATATGATGAATTTTATTGTTATTTGATAGTCTATGAATGACTAAATACAAAATTATGTTATCGTCTATACGTGTATGTATGACTCAATAAAATATTTGTAAAAACCGAGCCAACCGAGCCGAACCAAACCTTATTGGTTTGGTTTGGTCTGATTTGTTTTTTTTCTAATAGCCAGCCGAACCAAATCAAACCGCATATTTTTCTCTTGCGGTTCAGATGACTTTTATCGTTAAAACTGTCCAAACCGCACTGCGAATACCCGTACAACAAACATTAGCTCATGCCGAAATTTTTATTTGATAGTCTATGAAGGACTGACATGAGATGCTACTGTTTGCTCTCCACGGATACCGTACCACGGCTCGCACATCAACTGGGGCAACACCCTATTCCTTGGTATATGGCATGGAAGCTGTTTTACCTATCGAGGTTCAGATTCCCTCCTTGAGAATCATGAAAGATGCTGGTTTGAGTGAAGACGATTGGATCCAAACCCGGCTTGATCAGTTAAACTTAATTGACGAGAAGAGACTTACTGTTGTTTTCCATGGTCAGACATATCAAAAGCGGATGATCAAGGCTTTCAACAAGAAAGTCAGACGACAAGTGTATCAAGTCGGAGATCTAGTGATTAAGCGTATCATCTTGCCACAAAGTGATCCCAGGGGCAAATGGACTCCTACCTACGAAGGACCATTTATGATAAAGAACATCTTTTCTGGTGGGGCAATGATTTTAACCACCATGGACGGCAACGATCTGCCGCACCCTGCGAACGTAGACATAGTCAAAAGATACTACACATAAGAGACCCGCTAGGTTGACACACCTAGGCAAAACAAGGGCATCCCGGCGAACCAAAAGGTTCGGGAAAAAATTAGGGATAAAACAAAAAAATAATCTGTACACCCGGCAAGTTGAAAACCTGAAAGGGCGACTTGGGCAAAAAAGGGTTTCCCGGTGGATTGAAAACCCGAAAGGGTGGTCCAGGCAAAAGTTAGGGAATTAAAGCGTATGACTATGTCTCGTCGGATCACTTTAAGGATAATCTCTTCACAGACAAATCTGGAGCTTCTGATCAATCCAATCATCTTCGGACGAAGCAACAAATGGACAAGATATTCAGAGTTACGAAGGCTATATCAGAATGGGAACCCCATGGGATTTTTACACTTAGCCATCTTTCTTTGTATAAATTTTTCTCATTTTTTATGACACCATCCTCTTATTAGGATGTCTGTCTCCTTTGTACAAAACACTTATTCAAAGTAAATACAAAGATATCTCTTTCAAAGTACAGAAAACTATTTGCCTTTTTCTTTACACTTGTGTTTTATTTGCAAAAACGTCCAATGATTCATTAATGAACATATGCATTTGAACATAATTACTGTTTACAAATAAACAGGATAAAAAAGAACAATTACTGACATGTAGAAAGATTAGGAAAACGTCTTTAGGATATTCCATGAGCAATCCCTACAACACGTCATTAAGATCCCCAGCAGAGCCAAAACTTTGAACTACAGATCCCCAGCGGAGCTGAGACTACCAACCACCAATCCCCAGTGAAGCCGAAACTTCGAACTATCAACCCACAGCGGAAATCATCCAGTTTCTCCGGGTTTCCCCAGCAAGTTGTCTTGAAGCTTGAAAATCAACCAGATAACGGTTAACTTTTGTTTCTCCCCAACCTAGGGTAACTCCCCAGTAGATTGGCATACAACCCAAACTCTTGAACTCCCCAGCGGAATAAGCTTTTCCCCACAGAGTTTTCACTACAGGATAAACTTTTTCCCCATAGAGTTTTTATTGCTTCTCGACAGAACAAAGACTCCCGTCAATAATCCCCAGTAGAAGTCATTAAATTTCTCTAGATTCCCCAAGCAGATTCCTCAAGAAGTATTTGGCATTACTCTCACAACAGAATCCACACCAGTCAAGGATTTATTTTCCCCGGCAGCAGCCAAGGATTTATTTTCCTTAGCAATACAGCGAATCAACTTACATGCACATACATTACATTCATATATCATAAACATGGATAAAACACATTTATTGCATCATGCATTTCATGCAATATAACTTTGTGTTTCAGCTAACATTTTACCCTCAACAGGATAAGATTAACAGCTATCTTTAACAAATATTCAAAGATTTCAGATACAGTACGGTTACGCTCCAGATACAGACGCCATTCTGATACTCATTCAGATTCAGCCCTCAAATACAGTTCAGATACACTCCAGACACGGAAGTCATTCTGTCACTCATTCAGACTTAATTTCAATATACAGTACAGATACACTCCATACACGGAAGTCATTATGTTACTCATTCGGATTTCAAATTCAGATATAGTTTAGATACGCTCCAAACGCGAGAGCCATTCTATTTCTCATTCAGATACAGTTTAAATATGCTCCAGAAACGGACACCATTCTAATACTCATTCAGATTCAGCCCTCAGATACAGTTCAGATACACTCCAGACACGGAAGTCATTATGTCACTCATTCAGACTTAATTTCAAGATACAGTACAGATACACTCCAGACACGGAAGTCATTCTGTTACTCATTCGGATTTCAAATTCAGATACAGTTTAGATACGCTCCAAACACGGGAGCCATTCTATTTCTCATTCAGATACAGTTCAGATACGCTCCAGATACGGACGCCATTCTGATACTCATTTAGATTCAGCCCTCAGATACAGTTCAGATACACTCCAGACGCGGAAGTCATTATGTCACTCATTCAGACTTAATTTCAAGATACAGTACAAATACGCTACAGACACGGAAGTCATTCTCATACTCATTCGGATTTCAAATTCAGATACAGTTTAGATACGCTCCAAACACAGAAGCCATTCTATTTCTCATTCAGATACAGTTCATATATGCTCCAGACACGAAAGCTATTCTGTCGCTTATTCAGTTTCACCCTACAGATACAATACAACTACACTCCTGACATGGAAGTCATTCTGTTACTCATTCAGACTTAATTTCAAGATACAGTTCAGATATAGTTCGGATACGCTCCAGACACGGAAGTCATTCTGTCACTTATTCAGATTCAAGGACAAATACAGTTCAGATACGTTCCAAATACGGACACCATTCTGATGCTTATTCTGTCGATTTACAACCAAACATTCTTGGATGGCATCTACAAGCCCATCTCCAACAAGATTCTAACATACTCTCCAAATGGCATCTGTTGTACCCCAAAATTTGCCCTCCCATATTCTTCAAGATTTGCAAAGAGCATGCTTCAAAATCTCCCCAAGGGTTGCACAGTTCAAGGGCCTCCTAACAGTCAAAAACTAGGGTTTTGGTTCTGACAAAGAAAATGAAGTTTCCAAGGGTCCAATCAAGTCCCACATGCCTATAAACATGATCAAGCATCCTCATGCCAAGGTTCAAGACTTACAGCACAAAATTGCACAGTCAAAAACCCTAATTGCCCCACAGTCAACTGCAGGGGCAAAATGGTCATTTGACAGTCAAAAGTTCAAATTTTTGGTCAACATCTTATTTTGAAGCCACAAACATCATTTGATCAATTCTTGATCATGATTTTCAAAGCATGGCTCAGAAAGTCTCAAGATGCAAAAGTTTCCATATTTGGACAGTTGAAAAAGTCAACTGTAACTTGACCAAGGCATAACTTCCACATGGTTTATCAGAAAAATTCCATCCAAAGCTCATTTTGAATAGAGAGACATTTACTACAACTCCTCTTCACACTTCAAGTCCAAGAAATGCTCTCACAAAAAGTTATCAATTTCAACATTATAGGTCATTTTCAAAAGTCAACAAAAAGGGACTTTAAGTCAAAGACCATAAATTGAGATTGGTAAATCAAAATGACATGGGACCAAAGGCATCGGTTAGAGGACTTCAATACCTTTCCAAAATGTCCAAGAACATGATCAAAACTTAAAAATTGAGCAAGATATGCCTTGTGGAAGTTGGGAAATTTTTGGGAATTTTGAAAAGTCAACTTTGCTTCAAATGCCTCAAAATTGCTAATGGGCCACATTTTCTTCCAAGATTCATCATCCAAAGGCTATGCAAGACCATTTGGCCCAAAGGGGATTTATTTCATCATTTTTTATTATTTATTTGAATTTTTATCCACATTAATTCATTTAATTAATTAAGATATGAAAAAAATACTAAACAAATGTATGTGAACCTTTTTATGCAGCATTTGCTCTC